ATTTGAGCTGCGGACATTCTGAAATATTAGAGTGTTGTGGCAGAGGTTGTGGAATTTCGGCGAGGATAATGAAACAAAGAGTCGGCCAGTTGACATGGAGGGAGGAAATGAGATAGGTGACAGAAAGCGGCATCAGGGAGTCTGGGTACTGCCGGAGGAGACGTTTGACTTAAAAAATGAACTTATGATGTTTCATAAGAAATAAAACAAGTTTACCTGAGCTTGAACCCGGGAAATACTAATATGGTAGAGAGTGTGATAGCCAACTAACCTATATCACAATACCGATATAATAGTTTCCTTTTTGTAAGTAGATAAATGGTTGTTTGTTTCCCTTGACAGCTACCCTCTCAGAGCCACGTGATTTCATTTTTGGCCACACCTGTATATATAGAACTCGAAAACCCAATTCTCCTCTCCCCTTCTTCTTGCCGACACATCATCTCTTTCCTTGCTTTTCCACTTCCCAGTTTTCCAATTCTCGTTCTTATTTCTCCATTCTCGTTCTTGTTTCACTATTCCCAACATTACTTCACCATGGGCAGAGCAATACTTGCTGTCAGCCTCGCGTTTAGCCAACGAAATTTTGCTCGTCAGTCTCTCAGTCTGGTACCGTACAGGCCAATCACTCACTCCGGCCCAGCAAGCACTAAGAGCCAATTCTTATGTAACCCCTATGTCAATTATAACTTGCTAACAATTTGGCTTATAGTTGGACGGTGCCCCCGGAACCGACACTGCTGTTAAAATCCTCAGAAAGGTTTGTTTCTCATATATTCTTGTTTTAGTTAACAGTTTGCTTACTGTAATAGGATTTTGGTACCCAGATCCTTGGACTTCGATTCAGCCTGCCAAAGATAAACAACGTTTGTTTCCCCTACCCAGTCTTTTTTTCTTTTTTTCTTTTTTTCTTGTTCTCTTTCCTTCCATTTTTCGTTCCTTTGTTTTGATGTTTGCTCATAATCATAATAGAAAGTCGGAGTACTCACTCGGGACATGGACGGTTTGAAACGGAATTTTTTTGATTTGAAAGAGGTATGTCTCCCACATGTTTATGCTAGTTTACATTCACTTACCCTAGTGATTGGACCTCCACGAGTTTTCAACAAAGTTTGAGGTGCTCTCCGAGAAGGTGGCCGATCTCTCGACCAAGTTTACTACTCTGTCCGACAAGTTTCCTACTCTCGACAAGAGTGTTTCCATTATCAAGTGGCAGATTGGTGGGGTGTTTGTTGTGGCGGTTGCCCTTGCCGGGGTAAGACTCTTATAGTTTTTCAGTCCTCAGTTCTAACACAATTGGTTTTAGGGAGTGCTTTGGGTCGGAAACAAAGTGTGGGAGTTCTTGGCGGGAGATTCCGGAGATGTCGTACGAGCCGTGGTAAGATTCATTATTCCATCACTACTAATACTTCGTAATATGATACTAACATTGCTCATTTATATGAAGCAATACCTATCAACCAAAGTGGATGAGAAGAAATAATGATAATGAGGAAGCGAGAGGACCGGTCGTTAGCCGGGGGGGGTGGAGGGGAAATCTTTTTTTATTGAGCTGTTTGGGCCTGTTTTCCTACATTTTCGCCCTCAATAGAAGCCAAAGAATTCCCCATGTTGCCCTAACGTGCACCTGTTTTCTGTCCACCGGCTTCTAATAACTCGGAAAGGTAATCAAGCTTAATTAAAAACCTAGCTTTAGAGAAAACGAAGTAAGAGCCCAAGACACCAACGGGAAAGGACCAGTACCAGAGTCATAATAGACTCTTCAAGGCATTCGACAAGTTAGGCCTAAGTGCACACGAGATCAATAGCGTCGTTACTTGGCATGGGACTAGGTGAGAGTTGGAGGACTGGGGGCTGAAACCAGTTCGACTAAAGAGATAGATCCTTCTATTTACGACGAAGTAGAAGATCACGATTATGACGATAAAGAAAATGAGGTTGAGGACGAGGAAGATGGCGGAGAAGTGGGAATAGCTGCAGAGAGAAGGGAGGGAGCTACTCAGGACAGCGTCACCAATTCCAACCACCGTGCCGCCTCGGGCCCCTCATAAGCCAGCCGTGGGAATAGGATATTCATGATGCTCAACGGTGCCAGCTAGACTTCAAAAGGTCAGTAAGACATAAAAGTCTAATGGTTCGAAATCTGGGAGTGTCAAAAGCACCTGACAAAAAGTAAAAAAACAAGGAAAAGGAGAGGCGAAAAATTGGGGAGGGAAGAAAACACCCCCAGGGTATATGAAAAAAGAAGGTGAGAAGCTATAGTTCACATCATTTAGCGATGTTTACTCTTTCGTTTTGAGGTTCCCCGTTTGTTTGATTTCTCTTCGGCACTTTCACTCACTCAATTGTCTTCTCGGAATTTTGTTTCCTTGCTTGCTTGCTTAATTCCTCAATTACTTTTTGTTCGCCAATCTTCCATCCTCATTATTTACATGACACTTTTTCGTAAAGGCCCTAAGTTAGTTACTCAGTGGGGTAACCTTTTCTTTTCTTTTTCCTATTTTCTTCTCTGGGATACATGGCTCAACGCTTGAAGGTTTGATATGTTTTTTTCATGGCCTCCTAAAAGATATCCCCACCCCCCATTTCATTCTTGGTAATTCATGTTGAATCTCACTTCCCCCTACCTCTCTCCGTTTCAGGAATAAATGTATACTGAACCCTACTTGCGAAGATGTTTATACGGAATTTAGTATAGTATCCGATAATTGGGATACCTAACGTCATGCACTATTTGAACACTCAGTTGAGAGGTTGGGAGTTCATTGTGCTAAATAATGCCAGAAACCCGGCAGGTTGTCTCATGATCAAAAACTGGATGGTACCAATTAGCATGAACTTGAAACTATACCAAAAAATTGCCCTTAAGATTGAAAGATGCCCCTCGCTTCTGAAGAAGAAAAAAAACGGCAGAATACAAGCATGTTCCATAACCAAGCGCTAGGGGTATAGTCCCATACAGTCCATACGGCCCTTACCTTCCCGGGCGTAGTCTGTACTAACAGCCCCAAAATGACAGACAACGAGCTGTGGTTCGTCCCGCCCCACCATGAAGAATGACCGACCGGGTGGCTTGGAACACTATCACAAAGCACTGTGCCATCCCATAGGGCCTGCTACTTGAGCCAATGATGGCTGTCGCGGGATCTCGCTGCCCGCAACAGACTACCAGAGGCAGTCCAATCCCATCCAGAACTTCCGGACCATTGGGGGCGCTGGTTGTTCCTATTTTTCCCATGGTCTAAAATATAAGTATCCAAGGGTGAGATAATCAGAGGAGGAAATCATTCATCAGTAGTGTTCATCAGGGCAAAGTAAGGCAAACGGGGAGTAAGAGAATTAGCTTTTAGGAAACATCATGTACAAGTACAGCAGTAACAGGCAAGCTACCAGAACCCACCAGCTATAGTAGACTAAACTCTCCATCTCGTTGGCTGATATCCTGCGCATGAGCGCAGCTAGTACACCATTCAGTAGTCCAGATCTTAGAATGTAGGAGCTTTCCCTAAGCAAATGCTGTGATAGAAAAAAAAAGGAAAGGAAAGGAAGGGGACGCATCAATGTGAGGGTAGGGCCTGGTTTACAATAAGGGAACAGGCAATGCCGGATATGAAATCATGACGCAGAGGCAGGAGGCGGCAGAGAATAGGATGAATACTGGGCCTGTCAGCGATCAAGACAGATAGGAGAAGGATTAATGAATCTCATACTTGCTCTTCCTAATCTCTCCACTAAGTCAACTTCTAAAAACCAGGTTTTAAGTATAGGATTCAATCTTATCCCCTCCCTCAGTACGTGATCCGCCGCTGTTATGGTCTTCCTTGTTACTGGGCTAATTCTCAGTGTTTAGCAACTGTAAAAACAGTTCGGAGCTGTAGCTGGGAAGTTTGTCGCCAACCATGAAAGCTTGATATCCCACTTTGATGGTTCTAGGTTGATTCTGTTGCAAGTTGTTTCCATATCCGGGATATTAGAAGTAGCTGTTTCCATCCCATTTAGCAAATTATGGGAAAGAGGTGGAAGGAAATGAAGAGATGGAGAAACTTACTAAACATCGGTAGGCCCGCCATTCTTAAACACGAAATCATCTCTCTGCCAGTTTTGCCTAGCATCCGCGATTCTGATGAGCTGTTGGATGTCATTGCAAATAGCCTCTCCCTAGATATAGTGTGGCTGGAAAAACAGTCGAGATGCCAGTGCTCGGGTCAGGCTAGCTATATTCGCACACTCGAACAAGCCCCCATTAGCAGGCTTAGAGAGAACCAGAGCTTGTTTGCGCCGATGCATAAATGTACCATTGGATATAGTGACTCTCTTGCAGCATGTGATCATTTTGAAAAGGCGGTTGGGCCACATTTCCACCTGCCGACTGATACCGCCCTTGCCACAGTCAATAGTTAAGCTATATATTTCCGCAAATTTGCCTTGATGCATGTCAAGATCAGCCATATTGTGGGTGTGACAGTTGCAATGGAGATCTGCAGCTTCTTTAAGGGTTTCAAGAACCTTTTTTTGTGAGCTAGTGAGAATTTCCAATATTTGAGCTGCGGACATCTTGAAACATTGAGATGATGTGGTAGAAGTGGGGGAATCTCGGTGAAGCAAAGAGTCGGCCGGTTGATATGGAGGGAAGGAAAGAGATGGATGAGAAAGATAGTGATGGGCACGATCATGCTCGAGCAGAAAATTTGGCCCTATGCTCGAGCATAAATGTGCTCGAGTACACCAAAATTTTATGCTCGAGCATGATAGTGCCCATCACTAGAGAGAGGGCAGCAACGGGAATCTCGGTGCTGCCGTGGAAGAGTTATGGCGAATAACCCTATGAAATTTAATGTTCGCCACTAGGCTTCCGACGTATCGTTAGCAGGTTCTATTAATTCACTGTTCCCCCTACTATCATATTTTAAGGGTACCCCCAATGAATCTAAAATAAGAAAAACTAAGCAAGAGCCCAGTATGTAAAAATTGAACTTACGATCCACGGCAAAAAAGTAAAATGATTTTGCCTGGGCTCGAACCGGGGAATAGCACCATGGTAGACTAATGATAACCAACTACACCACAATATAATATCTGTTCTTCATCCGTAGATAAAGGATTAGTTCTTGCCCATAATAGATAAGATCAGGCTAGTGGGTGCCGGAGTCATCTTATCAGAGCCACGTGCTTCTCTATTTCGCCACACCTATATATACCTATTCTCCCCCCCCCCCTCCCTACCAACAAATCACATCTTTCTTTTTTTCGACCAACCAGTTTATCTATCGCTATTCCTAGTACCTCATTTCTCACATTCAGTCAAAATGAGTCGTGCTTTGTTTGTTGTCCGCTTTGCTCTTCGTCAGCGTACCTTTGTTTCTCCATCTCTTAACCTAGTTCGTTCCCAGCCAATCAGCCAGTCCGGCCCAGCAAAGGCTAAGAGCCAATTGGTATGTGATCCCTATGTCAATGTCAATTCTAACTTACTGGGCCGTGCCTCTCAAATCGAAGCAGCTTCCAGCGTTTTGAGCAAAGTTTTTTCCTCATATATTCCCACCCCAACCAACAGTTTGCTAACTGAAATAGGAATTCGGTCCCCAAATCCTCGGGCTTAGACTCAGTATGAGAAAGATGAGGGAATAATGTTTTCTTCCCTTCCATAGTCTTTTTTTTCTTTTTTCGTCTTTTTTCTTTAATGCTTTCATACTTTTGTTTTAATGTTAGCTTATACTGGTAATAGAAAGTTGAGGTTCTCACTAGAAACCAGGACGGCGTGAAAAAGAATTTTCGAGAATTAAAGGGGGGTCTCTTCTCCATCTATGGCTACACTAGTATACATTCACTTACCCTAGTGATAGGACTTCAACATACTATCGATAAAATTCACTAGTCTGTCCGATAAGGTGGCCGACCTCTCGAATAATTTTAGCAGTCTCTCCGACAAGTTCACCCGTGTCGAAAAAACTGTTACTATGATTAGATGGCAGTTGTACGCTGTGTTTGTGATAGCCTTTGTCTTTGCTGGGGTAAGTTATCGGTTGTTTTTGGTTCGAAGTTCGAAGTTCAAATAAAATGGGTTTTAGGGAATACTCTGGATGGCGAAACTTGGTTGGGATTTGGTCGCGGGAGATTTCGGGAAGGCACTAAGCGCTGTGGTAAGATTTATGAAATCACTACCTGATAATATGATGCTGGCACTACTCGTTTAGATGAAGCAATACCTGGCCACCGGGGCCGATGAAAATAAAATAAAATAAAGGATGGGGCGAACGGAGCAGGCCTTTGCCGGCAGGGTGAGAAGGAAAAAAAAAACGTTTGAGATATTTGGGCCTGTTTTCTAATACTTTCGCCCTCAAGACAAGCTGATTTCAAAATAATCCCCCGTGTTTCTCCAACCTATAAACTTGTTTTTGCCCACCCGTTTCTAAGAGAAGGAACGCATCAAAATGAGAGTAAAGAAACTTACTAAACATGTGTAGGCTCGTAATTCTTAAACACAGAATCATCTTTCCACCAGTTTTGCCTAGGATCCGCAATTCTAATGAGTTGAAGGAGCTCATTGCAAATAGCCTCTCCCCAGATGTGGCGTGGCTGGAGAAACGGCAGAGACGCTCTGGTCGGGCTAACTACATCCACACCCGCGGATAAGCCCCTATCCATAGTCCCAGAGAGAAGCAGAGCGCGTTTGCCCCTATACATAAACGTACCATTGGGTATAGTGACTTTCTTGCAGCGCTTGATCGTTTTGAAACGACGGTTTGGTCACATTTCCACCTGCCAGATGATGTCACCCTCGCCGCAGTCGATAGTCAGGATATATAATCCCACAAACTCGCCTAGGTTGATGTCGATGGCAGCTATATTGTGGGTGTGGCAGTTGGAGAGGAGATCTGTAGCCTCTTTAAGTGTTTCAAGAGCCCTTTCTTGTGAAGTGGTAAGAGTTTCCAATATTTGAGCGGACATCCTGAAATATTGAGAGGTGACGTGGTAGGGGTGGTGGAATCTCGGTGAGGATAATGAGCTAAAGGGCCGGCCGCTGGACATGAAGGAAGGGAACGAGACAGACGAGAGAAGGCAGCAACGGGAATCTCAGCGCTGCCGTGGGAGTGGTATGGCGAATAACCCTATGAAATTTGTTCGCCACTAGGTTTTCCGCCGTATCGTTAGCTGGCCCTCTTGGTTCGCTGCCCTCTACTGTTAAGGGTATACAAATAAATCGAAAAGATCGAAAAAAAATTAGGAAGAAATAATTATTATAGTAATTGGGGGGGGGCAATTATATTTACCAACCCCATAAGCAGACCACGCGCCAAGGATCAAGCAAAAGCCCCAAACCTGGAAGATACTGCCCTCAAGTGGATAATTATTCTTTAAGATGAGCAATATAGGTTCTTATGAAGTAAATTTAAATCGTATTAACGGAACACACCATGTTCACGTCAAATACGCAGGGGAAATAGCGCGAATATACTGTACCTCATACCAGAGCAGCGAACAGTGTTTCAACGAGTGATGAAAGGTGATCGGGGAAGGTGGCCTAATTGTTAGAAATGATCCGTGATAAGTCAAGCACTACAAGCGATAGGCGGAATAGAGTATTTGTACAGTTGATGGCTGAGTACTGAAAGTGTAGAAGAGCTTTACTGAAAGCGAGAACCAGAGGGAAATTAGAGATCAAACAAGAGTTGTGTTAAGACCGGTATCCATTGGTTTTTATTGTAAGAAAAGCTTATTGAGAGGAGAGTACCTAGTTACAGCCTTTATTCTTGTTTGCTTTTTTCCTCTTCCCCAGCTCACTGCCTTAATCATAAGAGTGAGTTTGCCGCTATTTTGGTTGTTCCCTTTGTCTACCTGTCGCTCCCTGCGGTAATTCCACCGGTTGCGTTCCTCCGCCCTAATTTACAGAGCCTTCACTTGAAAGTTACTAAGCCCAACTGCTCGAGGTTAATGGCACCCTGTGATACCCCTACTTTTCTGCTACCGGTACGGTGCAAAGTGCCTAAAGGTGGGTCCTCCGATGAAACGGGAATTCCGTGGCAACCGATCCGAGCTGAGCCAAAAATCGCCAAGACACAATGGGCAAAGTAAAATAATAGACTGGCAGCAAGCAGCATAGTCATTGAAGTAGAAATCATGAGAATAATCTGCTTTATGTACTGTAAAATTATCTTAAGTCAGAGTTTTGTGCTCATAGTTTCGTTTTTGCCCATTATCACCATGTCTTAGTCATCCACATTCCACAGTATTTTTCAGCATAGCATTGTGTACATTCTGTCCCTTGTTTCACTCTCACCAAAATTTTCACTTTGTCTTCTATCTCCTCTTGCCTATGGCACTTAATTTAAAAAAAGCTAGGACTCGTTTGTTCTCTTTAGAAATGGCTTTATCTCAGTGCTAGCCTTTCTCTAAATTTCTGTGTTGTGGTTGACTAGATACAGATCGCGTTTGGCCTGTTTTGAGGACCCGGTTTGAGCCCATTTGCACTGTACTGTACTCCTAACTGAGCCATCTTATCGGAGTCATGTGATTTTATTTTTCGCCGCACCTATATGGAACTCAGGCACCCTATTCTCGTCTCCCCTTCTCCTTTTTTACCAACCCATCATCTGCCGCTTTTTTTTTCCACCTGGATGGAAAAAAATAAAAGAAAAACCATCCGAGCAAGGCCTGGCCGGGGGGATGAGAGGAAAAAAACAGAACATTTTATTAAGCTATTTGGGCCTGTTTTTTTACACCTCCGCCCTTAATAGCTGATTTCAAAAGAATCTGCCGTGTTTCCCCAACCCACCCTTTAGTTCGTACTACGAATTTCACGGAAAATTAGCATGTCGTAGCGCAGAGAGCAACCCATGATTAACCATTCTCGCAATACACTAGGAAACACACCATGCCATGCCTGAACAAACAATCCAAATCCAAAAGAAATAAGGAGGTAAACGCCATTGGAATGGGTAGCACTAACCCCATTTTCGTAATTGTGATAGGAAATACCTTGCTCACCGTAAGCAGTGTAGTGCTCAGAATACAACAAAATCAGTATCACCCAGTATGACCCTGATGTAAGCAAGAAATTCCGCCGCGTATATTCTCTCCCAATTAACCAAATTAGGTTGTGCTACCCATTCCAATCTAGTGAACTCCCTGTTTTCACCCTCCCGAAACTCTTTGTGATCCTTCCCAGTTTACCATTCTGCTTATAGTTAGCACCTTATTCAGCCCAGTTAAGTGCAGCACTAGCTTCCTTCCGTGAACACGAACGAAGGAATAGTAGTGACAACATGGCTGCTGGTCTTTGCTACTAGTTATGTGGGAGGGTTGCTCCGAGCCAGAAAACCAGTCATAGCGATCATTTCCAAGTCTATTCAAAACCTGTTCACGAATGAAGATGTAAGCCCACAAATAAACAAGATTAATTGTTAATGGTTATTTCATTTTGGGCTAGGGCAAGATAGTGGGTTAGAATAAATGGCATGAAGAAAGGCAACGGAAACATCACGTCCAAGTACAGGAGTAATAGTCAAGCTACTGGAACCCAACATCAGTTGTAAACTAAACCCTCCATGTCATTAGCCGATATCCTGTGCATGAGCTCGGCTAGTACACAGTCTAGTAATCTAGAACTTAGATTGAAGGAGCTTTCCTTAAAAAAACACTTTAATAGAAGAAAGAACGAAAGAAAAAAAAAGGAACTGATCAAGGTGAGAGCGGGGCCTGGTCTAAAATAAAAGAGTTGGCGGTGCTGGAAATGAAATCATGGCAAAGAGGCAGGAGGCGGCAGAGAATAGGATGAATAGTGCCCCAGTCAGTGATTAGGGCATATAGGAGAAGTATTATGAATCCCATACTCGATTTTCCTATTCTCTCCACTAAGCCGACTCCCAAAATCCAAGGTTTTAGGTATAGGATTCAATCTCTTCCCCCCAGCACATTATCCGCCGCGTTTATGATCGTACTTGTTACTCCCAGTGCTTGGCAATTGGATGAACTGTTTCGAGGTGTGATAGTAGTTGGGAAGGTTGTGGCCAACGACGAAAGCTTGATATCCCGCATGGATGGTTCTGGGTTGTTTCAGCGGCAAGTCGTTCCAATT